TCGAAGTGAAAAAAAATACATGCATAAAAATATAAATAAAATTAAGATTCAAAATATACATGACTTGTATCAAATACTGATACAACAAACAATAAATATTTTCACAACACATTACAAATAAATTGTCAACCAAAAAACCGACATTCCCTCCATTCAACCTCCAATTATAACATTTATAATTCACTCTCTCAACACTATAATCTTGTTTGCATATTCCTCATCCTGGGTGCAAGTTTCATGCAAAAAAAAATTGGTCTGTGATAAAGATTGTCCAAGACGATATTCATATGCTTTAACAGGACATGTGAATGATCTTTATCAGCCCTGTTGAAGTCAATGTCGTTGTAGGAAGAATGCGGTCGAATATAATTGTGGAGAGTCATTGTGACAATCACAATCTGCATTTGTTTAAGGAACATATATGGAGACATATCGCGCAGTATGACTCATTTTTTTCTTCTAAATTTCAAATGTTATTTCAATAACACCGCATAAGAAGCAGTTTCTTTTATTGAACATCTCCTACCCCTAGTGACATTGTTGACTCTCTCGAAGTCAAGAATGTGATATTTTGTATCAGGAAATGATTTGAGATATTCTCTTTGTAATGGATATCAAACATCGACTAAATAATATTTATGTGACATAAATATAATGATTAGTATTGTAGTGAAAGCAATATTTGACTAGTTCAGACTCAAGCAAATACGGGGGTAGATGAGGAAAGTTATATTTCTTAGTTCTTGTGATAAATTTGAAAATGTGACTCTCATGTGCACTACCCCCCTAACCAATCATAATAAAAATAAAGCATATTTTGAAGTCACATACATCCATGACATTCTGTGTAGATGATCTGCATCGCCCCCCGCCCGATGAATGCAATCTTTTCATTATTTAAAACACGTGCATTCACGTGTGTTCCATCGATCGCTCTAATACAGTTCCAATGAGTTAAACATTAGTATATAAATTGTTATATTCATTTGAAATCTGGATGTAATCAATAAATAGATTTATCTGAAAATACGACATATACCGCCGGTCATGTGAAATCTCTATGGGAGTCTTTTCAAATGTCGGGTTAGCTGGTTTGATAATTTGTTATAAAAAACTGTCTAGAGCATTTAACCCAACTGAAAAATATCTACTAATTGTTTTATATGATTGTTGGAATTATTTCATAGCTTTCTTTATAGATTCATTATGTGATAATATGTAGATGGTTATCACTAACACTTCTAGTGAAGTCATTCTGGAGGAGCCATGAAGTTCATGATTCATATGTGGCTCCTTCAAGTGATCGATGAATGTGGGTTGTGTCATATAGAGCATATTCTTGAATCTTGTTGGGTTCTTTACAAGCAACTCCCCAACCCACTTGTCACCAATGTATGGAGATGTAATGCAATGAAAGCGGGCTACGTATGAGTCATAATACTCATACATCAAACACAACGCAACTTTAATTCTTCTGCATCTTTCTGTACTTTTATTCATGTTATTCAATGTCGACATAGCTAACACATAAGAATCGCCGAATTAGCTACTATTAAATAATTCTTTGAACTGTAACACTAATTGTAAATAAAATTTGAGAAGCAAATACTAAACATTACGATGAAAAATAAAAATCCAAAGCAGCATTAACTGCGTCTCAATGAAACATCAAATATCTAGAGCAGCATGGACAATGGCCCATCGAAAAACAAATATAAAATATTCAACAAATATAAAATATTCAACTAGAATAAATTGAAATTCAAGTGTTCATGTTTTCATGAAAAACTTTTTTCAGGTCGTTTCTTCAAGCAATTTCATAGATAACAATATAATGACATGTTTTTATATATGTCTGGAGCTGCCTCCAGAATTTGCATAACTTGTTGAATGTATGTTGTTTGTGATGTGTTAGGGTCATTTGTGATGAAATTTGGCTTCTAATGAAAACAACACCTTTTTTCTTTTTCTCAACCTTAGGACGCTTTGATCAGTTGGTGGATTCAACATCTTTGAGATTCAGACTAGGGCCTTCATTGGAATCGTCTATTTGTTCAACATTCAGGTTTTCAGGTATGCCAACAAACCCTCCCTCACTAGAGACCCATGCATTATTGTCTGTTGCCACGACTCTACCAAACATATCGTCTAACATCTCTTCCAGCTCAGGCATGATGTCACTGAATTTAAACTATTTAGCATTTGGCACCACCTACAAAGTCATAGGAGATGGATATGCTGATGCATCTGAAAAAATTGAAAATTTGATAATAACAGTGGACGTTTCATAAATACTCACCTCCAATCTCTCAGCACATTATTCATCTGAAGCATCAATTGTTCGCTTTATCAGATCCCAACCCGAGCTCGTGGATCCTCTTTTCATTTTTTTTCAAAATTTTCAATGTTTTTATAATTGATCTTATTTGTTTTTTTATTGCATTCGATCGTACTTCATGTTTGTCCTTTCTTTGAATTTTTTAATAATATTTTGTCATATCTTCTCGTTAAAATAGATTGTTGATCTATTTGTTAATTCGACTTCTTTAAGACAAATGTCACAATATTATTTTTGTATCATAATCCCACACAACAGATGAACCGACTTCTTTTATCTTTAGCCATTATAGTACTAACGTGAAAAGAATTAATCAAACATAAATATTTGCCATAAAAAATAATTACCACAACTCAAAGAAAAATAACATTATTATAATATCATGACAACTGCCTAGACAACAACCTACACATCACCTCCACACCACACACCATCACCTTCTCACCACACAAACACCCTACACCATCACCTCCACACCACACAACTCTCCTACACCACCACCTCCACACCACACAACCACCCCACACCACCACCTCCACATTAACACACCAACACATTCACACCACACCACCACCTCCACACTACACACTAACACATCCACAAACCACACCACTACCTCCATAGCATACACCATAACCGCCTCACCAGACAACCACACTACACACCACCACCTCCACACCACACTACTCTCCTATACCACCACGTCCACACCACACAAACACATCCACACTCTACCCCTCCACACCACACAACCTCCCGACACCAGCACCTTCACATCCACACACTACAGCACCACCTCCATACCACACACCGACACAACCACACATCGCACCACCACTTTCACACCACACACCAACACATCGACACACAACACCACACACCACCACCTCTACCAAATTTTGGGTAACAACGACCGAATTTCAGGCAACATCCATTGCATTTCCAATTAATTTCCACATGCAATCACCACCACCACCAACTTTCAGCCATCAACATTAACCGAATAAAGCAAAGAGAAACCAAATCAATCAATCAGATGTAGCATAAAGAACCCAAATCATTAACCGAGTATAACACGGAGAATCCAGAAAAATCCCAAAATCCAACATCAACGAAAAACCATCCAACGATAACAACACATAGAACTCAGGAAAACCATTGCGCATAAATACTTGCAAAATCAAACTGCCTTCATAGATAAGGTAGAGAATACCAAAACAGATGGGAGAGAGGGACCTACTCACAGAGGGCGGAGAGCCAATGATCCAAACCGAGCCAAAGAATAGAGGGGAGAGGAAGAGGAAGAATGGCAAAACCAAACGGAACCAAGCCCTACCCACCGGAGCCACGGATCCAAGGGGATCGGGAGAGGAAATTTAGGGCAACAATCACGAGAGAGGAGAGGGTTCAAGCGAGTGGTGTGCTGGACGAAATAGCGGGGTAGCCCGTAAATAAATCGCGAAGAAACGAGGACTGCAGGGTCGAACCTACGGCCTGCGTTTCAAATGAATTATCCAATAAGCGGCCTCACCGCAGTTATCAAACGCACACCTAAGCGTTTTCACACCACACCGCGGAAAATAAGCAGCCCCAAACGAGGCCTAAATGAATTTGTATTTTAAAAGGATTGGCCAGTATCCATCAACATTAAATTGTTTGTCACTTGAAGGTAAATGGCCTATGACCTCTATGCACTGGAGAATCTGTTTATTTTATGCATGAAGGTTTGATCATGAGCAAACGAAGGTTATTTCTTGGAACTAAACCAATCTCTTTGTTTCCTTATGCCATTGCCTCTAGATGAATTGATTAAGAAGCTTTAGTCATCATTAAATAAGTATTTAGCTTATTGATGTAATCACTCGAGTCTGTTTAATATTTTGCTTTTTCATATTAATTGTTGTTGTGTGCCTTGAAATGTTTTTTGGTACTAATCAAGTGAAAAAAATGAAATAAGGCTCTTTGGAACCTGCTCATACCATCAGTGCATTGATTAAAAATAAAATGATGAATTATAAATAGTTGGGTTCGTGTGTTTATCCTGCCCAAAAAACAAAATGGTGCTTTTGAACCGTTTTCTGCACACAAGTAGAAAAGAAATATTAGAATTGTCACAATTGAGTTGTCTCTTCATAGAATATTTTGACACCCCAAGTAGCCCATGGATGTAAAATGATCAAGTTTGTTAAGTTCTCAACGAAGTTCTCTCCCTCAACATATTCACATAAATAACAAAGAATATGAAAAAAAGAAAAAAAATGTTAGTTTTGGAATGAATATTTTGAGTGCTATTTGTAGGGCTGGAAAAGGACAAAGCAACTTATTTTTTCACTTTGTCTTTATTCTGCTAACATTATCTTCTAAATTCCTTACTATTTGAAGATTTTATTGAGCTCATAATTTCCACTACAACTTGGCAAAATTTTCAGCATAAACGCCTAAGCGAGCAACATTACATACAATCACAACCAAATCAATTTAGCTTAAAATTATAGAACTCGAGCATACGAACCTAAAGGCCATGAACTTGAGCCATATAAAAAATGATAAAATTACATGCAAAAAATTCATTTTTAAAACCATGAGAGCTTCATGCATTAACTAAGTTCTTTTCTTCCTTAAAAATTATGAGGCTGGCACATACTTAGTGTTGAAATTGCAGGGTTTATTATTTGCTAGGTGAGGCTGGCACATACTATGGGGTACGCTTTGGGAAGAACATTCCATGGGTATCAGATTTCCCTTTTGGATACATAAAGGATCCTCAGTATGTGGGAAGCATACTCAGCCTTCTGGCATGCTTATCTTTTGTTCCTTATCCTTATGTGTTATTTTGGATACTTGGCTACTTGTTCATGATGCATATGGAGTCCAAGGAAGATCCAACTACTCGAGCAAAACCTCTCTCATGAGTTTGGCCTCAACTCCAAAACTGACACATTTTTTTAGGGAAATAAAGGAGTTTGTTTTTGTTTTATGGCTTTTTGGGATTAATTTTATTAATTATAATAATAATTATAATAATTATTATTATGATTATGATTATGTGATTATTAAATTTTATAAAATTTGTCTATGCCATCATTCCTATTTTTCATTTTTTTGTAATGATGGATTTAGAATTAATGATGGCCAATTAATTGTAGGTTTGTGCATTAGGGAAGTTTTAAACGATGGAGGAGTATTTAAAAAGATGGATGATTGGTTATGTAATTTCAAGCATCATGCCTTGTTTTAGAGATATTTCTCGTGATATGACAACTCCTGTTGGAGATAATGTCTCATGTGGGGCTGTCAAAACAGCTCGTTCGCGAATAGATCTTGTTTGGCTCGTTAAGAAAATCATGTTCAATTCATTCGTTAATTTAACGAGTCATGATTAAAAATATATTAAATTATATTTAAATGAAGTTTTATTATAAATAATAGGATTTAAATCTTGTCTCAACCCTTAACATCCTACAACTTCATGATTCGAGTTGTCAAAACGATTTTTTGTTCATGAACGACTCTTGTTCTGCTCACTAAGCAAACAAGCTGAACACAAACACACTTTTTGTGTTCGAAATATGAACAAGTCAAACAAGAATAGTGATATTTTTTTACGAGCTGAACACGAGCTGAGCTTGGGCTCGCTCGTGTTCGCCTCGTTTACACCCCTAATCTCATGAATTTCAAACGATACTCAGACACCATTTTAATGCATGCAACCATAATGAAGTATGATGATATGAAAATTAGTGGTTTCTAGCTAAATAGTGATGTTCTCATCAAGTTAAATGTGGTTCATTAAGATTTGATTTTCAAGAAAAGAATTCTCATAGATAATTTCTGATTGATTTAAGTTATCAAATTATTCGTAACATTATTTTTAAAGCTGACAATCTATATAGCTAATAGAACTCATCCCATTAATTCTATTATTATTTATCTTTTTATTTTATTTATAACACAATATTGAATTCTAAGAACATAGTCATTATTCATCTTAAGATCAACATATTCCATAAAATAATTAAAGGAAACTTACGTACATACAACACAATTCTTATGCATTTACATATCTAACACCTAAAGTTTAATTTTTACACATATGATCGTTGTTTGCAAATAGCTCTTTAAAAAGCTCGTGTTTGGCCCGTTCATTAAGTTAACGAGCCGAACACAAACAAATATTTGTTCATTCGTGTTCGGCTCATTTTGAATCAAAATATTACTAATCAATTATATATATATGTTAAGTAGTATTTTTAAGAAATTTAATTGGCTACAAGGCGACAAAGAGTTATAATCAATTAAAAGTATTAATTAAGAAAATAGAATAAAATATATTATATTAGATTCAAATGATATTTTAAATCTTGCCCCAATCGTTAACATCTTATGACTACGTAATTAGAGTTGTTAAAATGACTCTTTGTTCGTGATTGGCTCGTGTTCTCTCCTCGCAAAGCAAACGAGCCGAACACGAACACACTTTTTGAGCTCGAAATATAAATAAATCGGACACGAGCGGAGCCTCAGCTTGCACGTGTTCGCCTTGTTTACACCCCTACTTATGACACGTTACTGTCATAAATAAAAAGGTGTATTTCAATTTAAAAGATTATGAGTGGTAATTTTTTTTTATGTGAAATTAAAGATTTGTGTGGTATGCATGTAAATATGAATTTTTAGCTGTTAAATATGTATATAGATAAGAATTATGTGATATGAATGTAAATGCCCCCAGTGATTAATTAAAATGCTTGTTAGTATATCTATGAGTTCCGCCTGTGTTTGAAATTATGCATGAAAAGTATGTTCGTGTTCTCTTTATTCTTGTTCATTTTTAGCTCATGATCAATTCAAATGATTTAAAAAAAAATTATAATTTTTAAATATAACATAAAATTTAGCATTAAATTATTATAGAAAATTTTAATTATTTAGAAAATCTAACTTGTCTTTTTGAGTTTGGCTAATTTATAATTCAAGCTTCAATAAATTATTTATGCTCGACTGTTTGATGAAAGAATTTCACACGAGTTACCAGCGAGTATAACATAATTCTTTCACGAACAATCAAGTTTGTTGGCATATATTGTAACTTGATATATATATATATAGAGAGAGAGAGAGAGAGAAAAGAGCTTTGGAAGTTAATATATTTATGTTGTAAGAAAAAACAGTCATAATTTTTTTGGGTAAGTGAGAGCAGGCTCCCTAACAATGTCTTTAAAATATAGATTATTTACTTACAGCTTGAAGATAAAAGAAAGTAAAACGATAAAGAAATAAGGGGAAAAAAAAATTAAAACCAGCATGTAAATGTCAAAAGAAGAGCTGATGAACCAAAATGCCCTATGGCACCCTCCAGGGACTTTTAAATCAAATGAAGTGTCCTGCAACCCATAAAGTAGAATCTGAGATTGCGGTGGGCATAACAGATGAGGGAAATGGCTAAGATTCAAGTGAATGTGTTGTTAGTTCAAATCACTCAAATGAATTGCATAAATGAAAATTTCAGAGGGCCGCAAGACGACCAAAAAGATCATGAAACATGTGTTCCAAGCCTAAAAAGCATAAGGTAGTAGAAATAGCCCAGTGAATATATGTTCTAATATGACAGTGGCAGTCAATAGAAATAAACACTGTGGTATGAAGTCCTAGAAGACCACCAAGTTTGCCATGGGGCAAAAGATACTTTAAGGAAATAGAAGAATCATTGAACCACAAAGCACATTGGGTCATCATCGTAGCTTCCAAAACACCATAATGATAAAACTAAAAAACAATTTTCATACGGCAAAACCAAGAGATAGAAAACAACAAAAACTATTTAATTCCTTGTTTAAAATGAATTCCATTTTTAAATTTTCAATTGTTGCATTTAAGCTCGATGGTCCAATAAATCCTTTTATTGAGATTCTCAATGCAAGAGCTATCATTTCTGAAAATATTATATTCTTTTCCAAGCTAAATAGGGTAAAAAATAATGTGAAAAACAATAATGAGAATAGTTAGTGTACTAGTGTTAAAAGAGTCGGAGTGATTTAGGACTTGCAATGAACTATTTTCTACTAAGAATAAACGACCATCCCAAAATGCATCATTTAAGTAAGGTAGGAGATGGTACACTCAAAGCAAAAGTGGTTATGAGCCTCTCAACTAAATTGGTAAAAAGTATACCACTGATTGATAATAATGCCTTTACTGATGAGAACTTCATTGATTTTTAAGCCATGTTGTTTGCATAGTTTTCTAAATGTATAAAATGAAATTTTAAGTGGCCTTTAAACCAAATCAAATTGAACCAATCTAATTATTTATCAAATTATTTTCCAAATGTGTGTAGTCATCATCTATATCCATGTTTGTTCTCAGAAGAGAAAACAAAAATATTCTTCAAAACCTAATTATTTAACAAAAAACTGGCTATTTAAATTTATGTTTCTAAGATTTTTTTGGGGGAAAGTTGACCTCAAAAGGCAATATGCACGATTCAAACTAACAACCTGATGATGAAAAATTAAACACTTAACCATTATGTCATGTGTAAGTGTGTATGTTCCAAGTTTTGGAGGTAATTTTGTTTTATATGGATCTCAAAATTAACGAAAAAATAATATTGAAAAATTTAATGATTTAAATCTTGAGCTTTTTATTTGTCATATTAATTGATTGTATTTGAGTTTTTATTATCTTGAGATCATGCAAATCTTTATTGATGACATTAAAGGAAGTATGTGGAAGTAGTAAAAAAGATGGTCAAATATTGAAAGAGAAAAATCCAAAAAAAAAACATATTTGGTTAAAGTTTATTCGCAACTCTTGTAGCTCTTGACTCCAACCCCTTTGAACTACTGGTGTCATCGCAACTCACAACTAAGACCTACATGACCATCTATAACCTACGTGGTCCCCAACCCATGCGACTCTCAACTCTGGTCGTTGTACTCTACGAATGTTATCTCAGCTCATACAACTCTAAACTCTGGTCTCTAGAGCCTACATATGTATTTTTCCCAGGTCCTGTGGCTCTTAACTCCAGCCTCTGAGGCATATGTATATTATCTCGATTTGTGTTATTTCCAATTTTGGCCTCTATGACATACAAGCGTTATCTCAATTCATGCAGCTCTCAACTCTGACCTCTGTGACCTACAAAAATTTTCTTAACTCATGCAGTTCCTAACTCTAGTCTCGACAACCTACAAACAATCTCACAGTTTCTACAACTCCTTGATATGGCCTTTACATACAACCGATACTCCAGAAGAAACTGTCTACTAACCACCTAGTCAATCACTATCATGTCTTACAATTATGACCTCTACAACAAGCTGGTGTTACAATCATCATCTATAACATTCACATCAGACTACTACCTCCATAGTAATCGACTACTATATTTGTGGCTCATTGCAATTATTATTGTTGAAATATCATTGTACATCAACTGAGCAAATTAAAATTTATGTTTTGTTCTTTCTAGATTAGAACAAGTTTCCTAGACTAACTTTTCCTTTAAGTGTTAAGTACTTTATTCAAGTTACCTTATTAAAAAAATCTGGCTAAATTTGCCCATGATCTTACTGAAAAATTTCCTATCAATGCTTTCCTCATATATAATCTATAAATTACATGTTGGTGCACTTTATTTTTCATGCATATATTTGGTGACGTCTTCTTTATTTTGCCAAATAGTTCCCTTGCAACATCTCTTATATTGGCTAAAAATCCTCTGACAATCAGCGAAAACTCAAAAATCGTAGTTTTCCTGAACATCATTCTCTTTTTCTAACCTTCTTAAAGGATGATTAAGATAGATGTTGCCTTCTCCTTGATTTTCAATCTCGTGATCAAAACATTAGTAGCAAGTTACCTCATTACAAATGATTATAAGATTCTTAGATTGTGCAAAGTGCCAAAACAAAACGACTTTCATAAATTAAAGTTGATGTGCACTTCTTTTATGAAAGAATCAAGGGGAGGAGAAA